ATTTAATATACATATAAGTATGATAATCATAAGTAGTTATACGTTACTCAAATTGTATTTCCGACTATACTCCTTTAGGTATTACTCGTAAGAAATTTATAAATTTCATGAGTCACGTGTTTTATTTGCGTATGACGTGTTTATAAATACCGATGATTAGGAAATCTCTCGTTTCTAATCAGCTATCAGAAAAACAGAAAACATTGATGATATTTCCCTACAATGCAAGTTGTGAAGAAATACTCCAAAATCGATGAGACTAGGGAAAAATTATTAATGAATTATTAGGAAGTATTGGCAATGAATATTACAGAGAACTACCATTTCATTATTCGACACTGCATTATCAGTGATGGGGTATGTTAATATCTCAATAATATATTTTCATCTGATGATATCAAGCTTACTTACCACTGATGAATTAATGATAACCTGACATGATTTTTCTATTCAGTGCCTTGCAACTTCCCATTTAGAGCTCGTAGATTCGAATAGCAGAGATTGTCAAATGGTATCGCAAAATGAAACACGTAAGCCAGGGATCAATATGCAACCTTCGAGTTCGTCTACTTCTGAAAAAAATATGGCAGGGAAAGGAAATAAATTGAAGGTAGTCGCCCTGATGGATTTTCTTAAGTAGCGTTGCAAACATACGGGTGTATATAACAAAATTTATTTGATTTAATATCATTTTTTTTTTTTTGATTTTGTCGTTATTTCGACTAACACTGTTTTATGAATATCTATACTTATTAGACAGGTAATAAAAGAAGTTTAGCTATATGTTGTCGCCAGTAACCTTGTAAAAATTATTAAAATTATAATAGAATATTAAGACTCAATACTCAATTTTTGAGTATAATTTAAAATACTATACATTATGGTTATTAAAATTCCTGATAAAAGATATTTAAAGATATAACTTAAATCCAGTAATTACAATATGGTGCAAAAAAAAATAAAAATTTAAAACATGAAGTTAAATATCTTATAAACAACTTTATTTAATATTGTTTTAACCAATATTTTAAAATAATTTAATTTTTTACTCTTTTATATATATATAAAAAGTAGTTGGAAATAAGCAAAAAAAAATTTTTTTTGGTTTTTTAAAAATTAATTAACTTTATATACAGTCTGGTGCAAAAGTCTTTGGACTTCTATTTCAACTTATAATTTAATAACTAATTGATAAAACAATATAAT